CAAGTAGAAGTAGCAAGATGTACCTAAAATCTTGCATGTTTATAAGACAAAAAAGACACCAGCAATCCTACCATCATGTAAAACAATTACAGGCTTCCATTTTACACTCAGCCAATAAATTTATGTCATGTCGGAGAGTAATGTGTGGCGTGAATATAATGCAGAGAATTCTTAGTTTAGAAATTAGGAGGTGCGGGATTACCAAAACTATTATCCAGAGGGCTGAGGAGGGGTTGTTGAGGTGGTTCGGACATTTAGAAAGGATGGAACAAAATAGAATGACTTTGAGAGTGTAGGGAAGGCAGGGTATTAGTCAGCCTAGGAAAGGTTGGAGAGAGAGGGTAAAGGAGGTTTAGTGTGCGAGGGGCTTGGACTTCCAGCAAGCGTGTGTGAGCATATTAGATAGGAGCGAATAGAGACAAATAGATTTTAGGACTTGACGTGCTGTTGGAGTGTGAGCAAGGTAACATTTATGATGGGATTCAGGGAAACCGCCAGCCCCAGATTTGAATCCTGGAGATGGGAAGTACCGTGTCTACACTTTGAAGGAGGGGTGTTAATGTTGCAGTTTTATAACTGTAGTGTAAGCACGCCTCCGGCAAGACAGTGATGAAGTGAATTATGATGAAAGTTTTTCTTTTTCAGGTCACCGTGCCTTGGTGGCAGACGGCCGAAGTGTTAATAAAAAAAATAAATGAACAAACATTTATTATTCTTCTGTAAGCCACATGTGTCTTAAGAGGTGACTAAAATGCCAGGAGCAAGAGGCTAGTAACTCTTTCTCCTGTATAAATTACTAAATTTAAAAAGGAAAAACTTTCATTTTTCTTTTCTAGGTGACCCTGCCTTAGTGGGATACAGTTGGTTTATTGAAAAAATGCTGATTATCAACAGGTTATAAAAAAGTGAATAAGTTGTGCGATTGTAAAGAACAGTTAGTAAAAATGTGCATAAAGTACAAAATAAAGGCACAATGAAAAGTAATGTACAAGTATAAAGTAACAGAAAGCATGGTTGTGAGAAGAAAGAGATAGTGAAATTTACACACAAGAATAATGAAGGTGATAAAATCTTTTTTTAAGTATATGCTGGTGTCTTTTGTCTGTCTCATAAATATGCAAGATTACAGGCATGTCTTGCTACTTCTACTTACACTTAGGTCACACTACACATACATGTACACGTTTATTTATACACACTCATCTGAGTTTTCTTTGATTTTATCTTAATAGTTCTTGATCTTATTACTTTTCCTTTTATATCCATGGGGAAGTGGAATAAGAATCTTTCCTCCGTAAGCCATGCGTGTTGTAAAAGTCAACTAAAATGCCGGGAACAATGGGCTAGTAACCCCTTTTCCTGTAAGATTACTAAAAAGAATAAGAAGAAAATTGTCAAAGTGGGAAGTCTGAATGTGCGGGATGTTGTGCAAATGATAAGAAAGAGATGATTGTGGATGTTATGAATGAGAAGAAAACTGGATGTCCTGGCTTTAAGTGAAACAAAGCTGAAGGGGGTGGGAGAGTTTCAATGGAGAGGAATAAATGGGATTAGGTCAGGGTTTCAAATAGAGTTAGAGCTAAAGAAGGAGTATCAATAATGCTGAGGATAAGTTATGGCAGGAAAAAAAGGGACTAAAAATGTATAAATTCAAGGATTATGTGGGAAAAAATAAAGATTGGATGTGAAAAGTGGGTTATAGTAAGTGTGTATGCACCTGGAGAAGAGGGGAAGTGTAGAGGAGAGAGAGAGATTCTGGGAAATGTTGAGTGAATGCGGGGGGAGTTTTGAATCAAGTGTGAAAGTAATGGTGGGTTGGGGATTTCAAGCTAAAGTGGGTAAAAATGTTATGGAGGGAGTAGTAGGTAAATTTGGGGTGCCAGGGTAAATGTAAATGGGGAGCCTTTTAAATTTGAGCTATGTGTAGAAAGAAATTTGGTAATAAGTAATACTTTATTTTATGAAAAAGGATAAATAAATATACAAGGTATGATGTAAGCAGTAATGAAAGTAGTTGTTAGATTATGTATTGGTGGTTTAAAAGGTTGATGGGTAGGCTCCAGGATGTACATGTTTATAGAGGGGCAACTGATATATCGGATCATTATTTATTTTGTAGCTACAGTTAGAGAAAGAGGTAGATGGGAAAAGAGGAAGGTGGCAACAACAAGTAAGAGGGAGGTGAAAGTGTATAAACTAAGGGAGGAGGAAGTTCGGGCGAGATATAAGCGGACTATTGGGAAGGTGAGCTAGTGCAAAGATGAGTAGTGGGGGAGTTGAAGAGGGTTGGAATAGTTTTAAAAATGCAGTATTAGAATGGGGGGCAAGAAGTTTGTGGGTTATAGGAGGGGGGGGGCAGGAGGGAAGAGGAGTGATTGGTGGAATGATGAAGTAAAGGGTGTGTGATAAAGAGGAAAAAGGTAGCTTATGGAGGTTTTTACAAAGCAGAAGTGTTATAAGAAGAGCAGAGTATATGGAGAGTAAAAGAAAGGTGAAGAGAGTGGTGAGAAGTGCAAAAGGAGAGAAATGATAGAGTGGGAGAGGCACTGTCAAGAAATTTTAATGAAAATAAGAAAAATTTTGGAGGTGAGTTAACAATTTAAGAAAGCCTAGGGAAAGTAGGGATTTATCAGTTAAAAACAGGTAGGGGGTTAGTAGATGGGGAGGTGAGGTATTGGGGTAGATGGCGAGAATATTTGAGGAACTTTTAAATGTTGAGGAAGAAAGGGAGGCGGTAATTTCATGCACTAGCCAGGGAGGTATACCATCTTTTAGGAGTGAAGAAAAGCAGAATGTAAGTGTGGTGGAGGTACGTGAGGCATTACGTAGAAAGAAAGGGGGTAAAGCAGCTGGAACTGATGGGATCATGACAGAAATGTTAAAAGCAGGGGGGGATATAGTGTTGGAGTGGTTGGTACTTTTGTTTAATAAATGTATGAAACAGGGGAAGGTACCTAGGGATTGGCGGAGAGCATTTATATAAAGGGAAAGGGGACAAAAGAGATTGTAAAAATTATAGAGGAATAAGCTTACTGAGTATACCAGGAAAAGTATATGGTAGGGTTATAATTGAAAGAATTAGAGGCAAGACAGAATGTAGGATTGCGGATGAGCAGGGAGGCCTCAGAGTGGGTAGGGGATGTGTAGATCACGTGTTTACATTTAAGCATATATGTGAACAGTATTTAGATAAAGGTAGGGAAGTTTTTATTGCATTTATGGATTTAGAAAAGGCATATGATAGAGTAGATAGAGGAGCAATGTGGCAGTGTTGCAAGTATATGGAATAGGTGGTAAGTTACTAAATGGCTGTAAACAGCTTTTATGAGGATAGTGAGGCTCAGGTTAGGGTGTGTAGAAGAGAGGGAGAAATTTCTTCCCGGTAAAGTGGTCTTAGACAGGGATGTGTAATGTCACAAGGTTGTTTAATATATTTATAGATGGGGTTGTAAAGAAGTAAAGCTAGGGGGTTTGGGAGAGGGGTGGGATTAAATTATGGGGAATCAAATCAAAATGGGAATTGACACAGTTACTTTTTTGCTGTGATACTGTGCTTATGGAGATTCTAAAAAAAATTGCAAAGGTTAGTGGATGAGTTGAGAAAGTGTGTAAAGGTAGAAAGTTGAAAGTGAACATAGAAAAGAGTAAGGTGATGGGGTATCAAATGATTTAGTAAAGAAAAATTGGATATCAAATTGGGGAGGAGGAGTATGGAAGAAGTGAATGTTTTCAGATTTCTTGGGAGTTGACGTGTCGGCGGATGGGTTTATGAAGGATGAGGTTAATCATAGAATTGATGAGGGAAAAAAGGTGAGTGGTGCATTGAGGTATAAGTTTGGGGTCAAAAAATGTTATCTATGGAGGCAAAGAAGGAATGTATGAAAGTATAGTAGTACCAACACTCTTATAGGTGTGAAGCTTGGGTGGTAAATGCAGCAGCGAGGAGACGGTTAGAGGCAGTGGAGATGTCCTGTTTAAGGGCAATGTGTGGTGTAAATATTATGCAGAAAATTCGGAGTGTGGAAATTAGGAGAAGGTGTGGAGTTAATAAAAGTATTAGTCAGAGGGCAGAAGAGGGGTTGTTGAGGTGGTTTGGTCATTTAGAGAGATGGATCAAAGTAGAATGACATGGAAAGCATATAAATCTATAGGGGAAGGAAGGAGGGGTAGGGGTCGTCCTCGAAAGGGTTGGAAAGAGGGGGTAAAGGAGGTTTTGTGGGCGAGGGGCTTGGACTTCCAGCAAGCGTGCATGAGCGTGTTAGATAGGAGTGAATGGAGACGAATGATACTTGGGACCTGACGATCTGTTGGAGTGTGAGCAGGGTAATATTTAGTGAAGGGATTCAGGGAAACCGGTTATTTTCATATAGTCGGACTTGAGTCCTGGAAATGGGAAGTGCAATGCCTGCACTTTAAAAGAGGGGTTTTGGATATTGGCAGTTTGGAGGGATATGTTGTGTATCTTTATACGTATATGCTTCTAAACTGTTGTATTCTGAGCACCTCTGCAAAAGCAGTGATAATGTGTGAGTGTGGTGAAAGTGTTGAATGATGATGAAAGTATTTTCTTTTTTGGGGATTTTCTTTCTTTTTTGGGTCACCCTGCCTCGGTGGGAGACGGCCGACTTGTTGAGAGAAAAAAAAAAAAAAAAAAAAAATCTGTGAACGTACTTCTATAAATCAATATGTAGAGCTATGCAATGTTAATGGTGCCCAGGATACATTCTACTCAAGTTAATTCCACAATAAAGGGAAAGTTTAAAATAGAAAGACAAATTATTACAATCCTACAGTGTTTGCTTTGCTGGGCTCAAAATCCTACCATACAATTTCTTAAGTTCCAATTCTACTTTACGAGATCTTTCTCCTAGCAATTCCACTCAAACTCGTTCATGAATAAAATGGTAGTGTGAATGCTTTCAGCTACAATTTAGGTTGATTTAACTACCACTGGATGTAATACTGTATTACTTAAAGTAATAGAAAAAAATTCCACTCACTTGCCAGTGTCTTCATGCTCAACAATGTTGTGGGTTTTGCCAACTTCCTTCTTTAGCACCTCAACCATCTCATTCACTGATCGCAATGTCACTAACTCTAAAGCTGCCAGACATAAGGAAAACATTTAATTTTAAAAGTCATAAAATATTATAATGAGAGAATAGCTAGGTAGGACTTCACAATACTACTAGCAAGAGGCCATGGATGCATGCACAGTTGAAGACCTAAATTCGGATACAAGCCAAAACTATAAATTGCTAGACCCTGATTAGGGCTTGCTACAGCTTTTAACAAGAATGTAATGAAACTTAATTTTGATTGTACAATAGCTGTACCCCAGGAAAGAGCTGACAATATATTCAAATTCAAATTGAAGTGTTTTTCATGTTCCTGTACAGTCACCATGTTTTGGTGGAGACTGATGTGGAAAAAAATATTGTTTTCATGATAACCATAGTAAATATATATCAGGAATTGTTTCAAACGATACATATTTTAAAAAGTATTGCCTGTAGAGGCCTTACCAGAGACTAAAAAGGAATTCTGTTATCATACCCAAATTTAGAGTTTTCTTGCGAACTTCCAAATCGGGTGTGGAAAGGATTCTCAAAACATCCATGGCAAGTTCCTGTAAAATTTTCTCTTGCTGTGGAGAGTCCTTCAGTGCTACCAACCGGTCCAGGACAATTAATTTAACATTGTTATCACTCTCCTTAACAATTAACTCAATGTAACAGTTAGCTGCAGCCTGAAACCAAAATTTGTCTCTGAGAAAAGTATTCCTTCAAAAGCAACCCAGACTGCCTCCAAAAATTTTCATTTCAGCAAATAATTTCATTAATAGCAAAGACATCAAAGCAAAAAGAGTAAATTATTTACCTGAGACTAATTAAAAAATAATGTTTACTAGTAATCTTATATTGTATGCCATTAAGAATATTGCTTAAGCATTTAATAACATAACTTATAATGTAAATTATGGTTTATCAAAATTCACACCACAGACAACCATGCTGACAAAGCACCAACTCACCTTAATAGCAGTAGGTGCCGAGGAGAGAGTAACCAGCGTTCCTGCTGCCTCATAACGGACTGCAGGACTGTTGGAGTTAAGAAGGTTGTAGATGCACCTAATGAAACGTGCTCTTTCTCCAGGATTGGCATGGCATACCTGTCCGTAAATGCTCATCATTACTTTCATATTTACTTTATTATTCTTTTGAGTTCTATTTTAGCCATAACCCTTTAACTGTGGCATAACCTGAAGCAAAATTTCCGATGTGTGGGGGCAAGGTTCTGAAGAAACAAAATTTCTTACATACTGAAAGAGTATTTTTATGATTTGAATAAGACTACTGTTTTGGAGTGGCTGGTGCAATTATTTAATAAATGTATGGAAGAGGGTAAGGTACCTAGGGATTGGCAGAGAGCATGCATAGTTCCTTTGTATAAAGGCAAAGGGGATAAGTCTGTTGAGTATACCTGGCAAAGTGTATGGTAGAGTTATTATTGAAAGAATTAAGAGTAAGACGGAGAATAGGATAGCAGATGAACAAGGAGGCTTTAGGAAAGGTAGGGGGTGTGTGGACCAGGTGTTTACAGTGAAACATATAAGTGAACAGTATTTAGATAAGGCTAAAGAGGTCTTTGTGGCATTTATGGATTTGGAAAAGGCGTATGACAGGGTGGATAGGGGGGCAATGTGGCAGATGTTGCAGGTGTATGGTGTAGGAGGTAGGTTACTGAAAGCAGTGAAGAGTTTTTATTACGAGGATAGTGAGGCTCAAGTTAGAGTATGTAGGAAAGAGGGAAATTATTTCCCAGTAAAAGTAGGTCTTAGACAAGGATGTGTGATGTCACCGTGGTTGTTTAATATATTTATAGATGGAGTTGTAAGAGAAGTAAATGCGAGGGTCTTGGCAAGTGGCGTGGAGTTAAAAGATAAAGAATCACACATAAAGTGGGAGTTGTCACAGTTGCTCTTTGCTGATGACACTGTGCTCTTGGGAGATTCTGAAGAGAAGTTGCAGAGATTGGTGGATGAATTTGGTAGGGTGTGCAAAAGAAGAAAATTGAAAGTGAATACAGAAAAGAGTAAGGTTATGAGGATAACAAAAAGATTAGGTGATGAAAGATTGGATATCAGATTGGAGGGAGAGTATGGAGGAGGTGAATGTATTCAGATATTTGGGAGTTGACATGTCAGTGGATGGGTCTATGAAAGATGAGGTGAATCAAAGAATTGATGAGGGGAAAAGGGTGAGTGGTGCACTTAGGAGTCTGTGGAGACAAAGAACTTTGTCCTTGGAGGCAAAGAGGGGAATGTATGAGAGTATAGTTTTACCAACGCTCTTATATGGGTGTGAAGCATGGGTGATGAATGTTGCAGCGAGGAGAAGGCTGGAGGCAGTGGAGATGTCATGTCTGAGAGCAATGTGTGGTGTGAATATAATGCAGGGAATTCGTAGTTTGGAAGTTAGGAGGAGGTGCGGGATTACCAAAACTGTTGTCCAGAGGGCTGAGGAAGGGTTGTTGAGGTGGTTCGGACATGTGGAGAGAATGGAGAGAAACAGAATAACTTCAAGAGTGTATCAGTCTGTAGTGGAAGGAAGGCGGGGTAGGGGTCGGCCTAGGAAAGGTTGGAGGGAGGGGGTAAAGGAGGTTTTGTGTGCGAGGGGCTTGGACTTCCAGCAGGCATGCGTGAGCGTGTTTGATAGGAGTGAATGGAGACAAATGGTTTTTAATACTTGACGTGCTGTTGGAGTGTGAGCAAAGTAACATTTATGAAGGGGTTCAGGGAAACCGGCAGGCCGGACTTGAGTCCTGGAGATGGGAAGTACAGTGCCTGCACTCTGAAGGAGGGGTATTAATGTTGCAGTTTAAAAACTGTAGTGTAAAGCACCCTTCTGGCAAGACAGTGATGGAATGAATGATGGTGAAAGTTTTTCTTTTTCGGGCCACCCTGCCTTGGTGGGAATCGGCCAGTGTGATAATAAAAAAATAAAAAAATACTGTAAAATGACTATGGTGTATTGAAGTTGGCAAAAAAAATTATCACTCATCATCAGCAACAGTAGTGTAAATGTGCCAGTAACTGTTATGTTTTATAATCTAGAATCTGATGCCAAATTATGATTTTCTTTTCAGTTTAATATAGGTACTCCTCACTTAATGACTTACCTGTTTAACGACTGCTCGAACTTACGACAAGCCGTTTGACCAGTGTTTTTTTTTTTTATGCCAACAGCATTTGGTGTTCCCAGGCGGTCACCCATCCAAGTACTAACCAAACCCAACATTGCTTAACTTCGCTGATCGGACGAGAAGCGGTGTGTTCAACGTGGTATGGCCGTTGATCAGTGTACTCTATGTATTTTACTTTTTCATTGGTTTTTAATACCTATTTTTAATATACTAAAAATGTTATAAATGTTGCAAAGGTGACATTGAAACAATATCTAAAGATAGCCGACACAAACCCATTACCAGTACAGCATGCTTGAAGTATCACTAAGGAGGGGCTCCTTCCTGAACAACCAATTCAATTACCAACTTACTGTTAGGAACTGAACTCGGTCGTTAAGTGAGGAGTGCCTGTACTATGTACACTAGTTTCCTATGATATTAAATGTATTTCAAGGGATTTTGGTACTTTAAACATTAGAAATGCATAGCTCAAAATTATTCTACTTAGAATATACAGTGGACCCTCACTTTTCGTCGATCTCCGTTATAGCCGATTTCTGTTTTCGCCGAGTTTTTTCATCAAAATATTGATTCCATTTTCGTCAATGGTACGGAACCTATCCAGTGCCGAGTGCGCACACAAAGCCCCCTCCCACATGCATTCTGAGACAGTGTCACATTGTTTCTCAGTGAGTGAACATATCCTGCGTGGTCATACGAAACATTTCGTAATAATCCATTGTTTTTGGCACTTGTTTATTGTGTGTGACTGCTAAATAAGCCACCATGGGCTCAAAGAAAGCTCCCAGTACCAGTCCTTTGGTAAAGAAAGTGAGGAAAGAAATTATAGCAAAGTACCAAAGTGGAGGAGGAAGAGAGAGGGGACAATGTGCCTTTAGTAATTCTACGATATGCACGATACTAAAGCAGCACGAGTCAATAAAGGCTATAGTGCCAGCCAGCGATAAAGTGTAGCAAATAAGTTAATCGATTAATCAACAGAAAAAGGACAGTACAAAGCTGACTCCTGCAATGTTGTTGGAAGTATACAGGGCTACTGACAACACAGCCACCTCTGCTGCTACCTTCACCACCAATACATAAGGCTTATGCTCTCAGTGGCCCTTATACAACCAATAACACCACAACTCGTGATATACGTACTGTAATGCCATATTTTATTCTTTCTAGAGTATATGTCATTTTTCTATGCTTTTTTTTTTATTTATTTTTAACACATTGGCCGATTCTTACCACGGCAGGATGGGATAAAAAAAAAAACTTTAATCATTCACTCCATCACTGTCTTGCCAGAAGGGTGCTTTACACTACAGTTATAAAACTGCAACATTAACACCCCTCCTTCAGAGTGCAGACACTGTACTTCCCATCTCCAGGACTCAAGTCCAGCCTGCTGGTTTCCCTGAACCCCTTCGTAAGTGTTACTTTGCTCACACTCCAACAGTACGTCAAGTATTAAAAACCATTTGTCTATCAAATATGCTCACACATGCTGCTGGAAGTCCAAGCTCCTCGCACACAAAACCTTCTTTACCCCCTCCCTCCAACCCTTCCTAGGCCGACCCCTACCCCGCCTTCCCTCCACTACAGATTTATACTCTCTCGAAGTCATTCTGTTTTGTTCCATTCTCTCTACGTGTCTGAACCACCTCAACAATCCCTCCTCAGCCCTCTGGATAATAGTTTTGGTAATCCCACACCTTCTCCTAATTTCCAAACTAAGAATTCTCTGCATTATACTCACACCACACATTGCCCTCAAACAAGACATCTCCACTGGCTGGAGGCAGTTGCAACATTCATCACCCATGCTTCACACCCATACAAGAGTGTTGGTACAACTATACTCTCATACATTCCCCTCTTTGCCTCCAAGGACAAAGTTCCCTGTCTCCACAGACTCCTAGTTGCACCACTCACCCTTTTCTCCTTATCAATTCTATGATTCACCTCATCCTTTACAGACCCATCTGCTGACACGTCCAATCCTAAATATCTGAATACATTCACCTCCTCCATACTCTCTCCCTCCAATCTGATATCCAATCTTTCATCACCTAATCTTTTTATCCTCATCACCTTACTCTTTCCTATATTCACTTTTAATTTTCTTCTTTTATATACCCTACCAAATTCATCCACCAACCTCTGCAACTTCTCTTCAGAATCTCTCAAGAGCACAGTGTCATCAGTAAAGAGCAACTGTGACAACTCCCACTTTGTGTTTGATTCTTTATCTTTTAACTCCACACCTCTTGCCAAGACCCCTGCACTGACTTGTCTTACAACCCCATTTATAAATATACTGAACAACCATGGTGACATCACACATCCTTGTCTAAGGCCTACTTTTACTGGGAAATAATCTCCCTCTCTCCTATGTACTCTAACCTGAACCTCACTATCCTCATAAAAACTCTTCACTGCTTTCAGTAACCTACCGCCTATACCATACACCTGCAACATCTACCACATTGCCCCCGCTATCCACCCTGTCATATGCCTTTTCCAAATCCATAAATGCCACAAAAGCTTCTTTACCCTTATCTAAATACCGTTCATCTATATGTTTCACTGTAAACACTTGGTCTACACACCCCCTACCTTTCCTAAAGCCTCCTTATTCATTTGCTATCCTACTCTCCATCTTACTCTTAATTCTTTCAATAATAACTCTACCATACACTTTACCAGGTATACTTAACAGACTTTTTTTTTTTTTTTTAACAAGTCGGCAGTCTCCCACCGAGGCAGGGTGACCCAAAAAGAAAGAAAATCCCCAAAAAGAAAATACTTTCATCATCATTCAACACTTTCACCTCACTCACACATAATCACTGTTTTTGCAGAGGTGCTCAGAACACAACAGTTTAGAAGCATATACGTATAAAGATACGCAACATATCCCTCCAAACTGCCAATATCCCGAACCCCTCCTTTAGAGTGCAGGCATTGTACTTCCCA